GCATTAGATGTCTTGTATTCCTCTATTGACAAGTTCATTTCTAAATTATTTTCTTGCTTCATCCTCAAGCTGAACTTTCAGATCCCGGCTGAAGGCAAACTCTGGATCATTCTGTCCATATTTAATGACTGGACTGACGCACTGCTTAATCACAGTTAAAGATGGAATGTGTACCAGGATGATCAGGTCTCCATGGCGGGGGGGGGGGGGGGGGGGGAGCATGCTTCTTCTGAGGTGACTTCCGATTTTGTTAACTGCAGTTGGCTGGGAGACAGCCTGATGCCTGTACCAAGCCAAAGTCCAACTATGTTTGTATAAATTAACACCTCTGTTTAAATTTACATAAGAGTTCTGTGCACTGATATGAAAACTAATTTATCCTTGAGCATCCTTGTCTAGAAATGAAGTAGGCACTGGTAGCACTAGGATTCAGGGACCAGGTCCTTATGTTCTGCTTGTTCCTCTTTACTGTTTGCACATATTCTCTATGCAACACCGTAGTCAGGTCTAAAAGGACATTGTTTTCCATAGAACAGCTCCAGTTCTCACTTCTCTCGCTTGTTAAGAAAGCACAACTGGGTTCTGTGATGAAGTGGGCAGAACAGAGTGTGCTGGGAGCTCTGCTTGGGGATAACATTCTGGGCTTAGTAGATGTTGACGTAGCTTTTGTTTGGACTGTTCATAGAAGGCATAGAACACCCAGTTTCTTGAGTAGCTTCATAGGTCAGCATGATATCAAAAATAAGATCTACTGTTTCTACCCCCTTGGGCAGAGATTAGAGTGCTGGAGACTTATTTTACAAAGCTACTAAAGTCAATGTTTGTAAACCCCTAGTTACAATTCAGAATGTTATACTGCCACGTAGTTTTCTTATTATTAAGTCTTTTCATATTTAGGTAGTAATTTATTAATTGAACTGGGAAGTTGTCCCCCACCCCCACCCCGCTTAAATGAGTAAAGAGAAATCAGGATGTTGTGTTCTTGCCTCCGGTTGCCCTGACTGGTGAAAATCTGGCAAGGCTTTATGCTGACACAGTAGTTGTTAACATTGGAACATTTGGCTGTCCGTGCTCAAAATAATTTGAATTAATCGAAATGTACATTGACAGTATAAGAGCATCCAGATCAAGTTGAACTGTAATCTCCCTATGGCTAGAACACGTTATTGACCTATAGTTCATCTGTTTTGTGATTACAGCAAGTTAATTTTATTTAGAAACTGTGATTTGCCCTTGTACAACACTCATAGGGGGAAGCATTTTAAAACTGCAACAGTCAGAAAAAAATGGAGTACAACTGTTCATCCCCTGTTCCACAATCTATTACATTTCTGTGAGGGCACTTGTGTTGGTTGTATATTTATGTTTATCCAAACACAGACACACGGAGAAAACTAAAAACATGGAAAATAGGATAACTCTTCAACAGGCTAGATATTGTATCTATTACACCATCAAGCCTTAATCTCCATTTTTGCTATTTAAGGATTTCTTCACTTTTTTTTTTGCTTTGTGTCTTTCAAGGGATGCATTTATTTCAACTTGAGCTTGAAGCAAATTCATATCGCTTTGCTGCCTTTATTTTTAAAGGTAAAGCAGCCATGGTTCTTTGTTCCTTGCATCCTTGGGTGGAACCCGAGATCTTTTTACACCGAGGGAGACCTAACCAAATTAAATCTGCCAAACCCTTCTTCGTGTCATCTTAAACTATTGCAAATTACAGGTGTAGGCTTTACATCTTGCCCAGAAACATATCTCTTTCCCCTTCAATAATGATGGCAATGACGTTGTACATCCATCCGGCTGGAGCATTTTCTTTACTACTTTATGAGCAGCACCAAATAAAGAAGATATTTTACTGATGCTTTGGAATAATTTTCTGTTGGACCAGCATGGCTGCCTATGACAGCAGATCCAGGATTATGTATATTTGCCTTGTACTGTTTCTTTTACAGTCCAGTGACTCTCTGCTTTGTTTTAATCCTGAAAATATTTCATCGGTCCGCCATTTTATCTGCCTGTTGTTCTTCCCCCTTTTTACCATTTTGCTGTTTTGTTATTGAAGAGTACTTTTTGCTTTAGGTTGCATTGGAGGTAGAGATGTCAAACTTAGAAAAAAATTGAGTCCAGTGAGGGGGGACATTTGGAGAGAAATTGAAGTACATGCAATACTTTCTTCACAGACCTAAACTGATTGAATTGCTTTAAAAGCATAAATGCATAATTTATAATTTAGCATATAAAATTGTAGTATTTGGTATATTTAGGGAATTTAGAAGTATGAATGCCTCAGTTTTCACCAAGGAAAATTGTGAATATACCCAGTACTAAAGAGAGAGAGCATACATATCCTGTGCTGCACCATGTGCTATTCTTAGCATACGTGTCTTAGGCTGTGGTCACACGGGCAGGAAAATGCGGGGGGGAAGCGTGGCTGTTTGCCCTGGGGCAAACTAACATGTAGATACTTGATCAGACCTCCCCTGGAGGTTCCGTGGAGGTCCCGTGGAGGTTCCGTGGGAAGGGAGAGGTGCTGATCACAGGACGATCCTGCACGCAACAAAGAAGCGCGCGGTGCGGCAAACGGGTGGGGGTTTTTGTCACGTACACCAAAAATGTGCATGCTCCGTTGGGTGCTTGTGCGCATCCACGGAGACTTGGGGGAAAAAAAACCTTGTTTGCAAGGGGACTTGGGCGGGCGCCGGATGCCACCGGAAACGCGATCAGACGCCCGCCCTTGCCCCGCAGTTTCCGGAAACTAGTACCTCCGAGGTACTAGTTTTTTGCAGCGCGGTTTCGGCGGGAAGCCTCGGTTGATCCACAGAAGCTCTACGCTTCCCAGATGTGCCGGTGAGATCGCGCCTGGAAACTCCGCCTGACTTCCATCTCTCTAGCGTGGCTAATGTTCCGTGTGACCACAGCCTTAGTTTTGTTTTTTCCTAAGAGGCGGGGAAATAAAAATTTAAAATAGAAAACAACTTTTGTAGTAAATAGTCTCATACAGTCCTAATAGGTCTAAAGCATATTTAGATATTGAATTAAACTTTACAACATTGTAGTCTCTGAATTATTCAATAGTATATAATCATATACATTTTAGCATATCAGTTGTGTACAAAATTGGTATATTTTGATACTATAGCTATTAAAACATTTTGTGTATATATAGGGATTGTTCTCTAGTGCTACGGATTCTTAGTTAAATATATTTACAACTACACATTTGGAGTGAGAAATGTCTATTCACTCATTCCAACAGAGAAAGTATATCTAGGGTTTGTTTTTTTCTGAAGCCCCCCCCCTCCCCAGTAGGAACCCTTTTTTCATGGGCCTTCACATCTTTAATTGAAGGTCTTTTTCTTTGGCCCCTGTTTTAAGCTGCACCACTGATTAGAGTTCATACAGTAATTTGTAGTAGCTGTTTTGTATTGTTTTGTATTTCAATGTAGCATTTCACTATATAATCTTACCCCTTTCCCTTCAAAAATTAGAGGACTGCCCAACTGCATGTACTTGGCAAGTGCCAGAAATCTCTTCTCTGCACTTAAATGGAATTTGACTTGTAAAGAAATTACAGAAGATTGCCTAACTTGCATTCTTCAACTTTTAACACTGCATTGCAGTTTTTACAATTACAGTTACAGTTGTATTAGTTGTAAACTGAATATGATAGGTTCTTATAATAAACGTGCAGGTTGAAGGATGTAAACCAAATGTCTGGAGATGATCGAGAGGGTCTGCATACACGATTTCTGAGTTCTGTTAATGACATGCAAACCCTTGTATGTACATTAACAGCTGTTGTGTTTTCTGCACTCTGAAGAAAATCTCATCAGATCTCGGAAGCTAAGCAGGGTTTGGTCCTTGTTAGTACTTGGATGGGAGACCACCAAGGAAGTCCAGGGTTGTGCAGAGGCAGACAGTGGCAAACCACCACTGTTCATCTCTTGCCTTGAAAAACCCCTATGGGGTCGCCATAAGTCACCTGTGATTTGACAGCACTTTTCACCCCCATTGTTTTAAGAGAGAAATCAGCAGCATATTATGACGAAAGTTACTGAAGCATGACAGAGAAGTGGAGGTAGCAGTGACAGTGAACAGAATTCTGACAAATATTAAGGAATGGTGGCAAACTATTTCATCTTCATGTGTAAGTTCGGAAAAAACATGTAAGCCGTTTTATGTACCAGTTTTAACCTTGCATTTTGAATTTGTCAGTCACTGTCTTGGTTTCAGGCATCCTGTCATTCTTGTAAAAAAAATGGAAAGCCTCTGTACCTCAGTATTATAGGGACAATGATAATCCTTGAGACAGTTGTCTAGAATAATTAAGCACCAAAGTTCTATGAATATGAACTAACTGGATAAGTTTCTTCTAAAAAGTGCACAGTTGGAAAGTAGTGTACAAAATAGGCATCTTGTCTGTGATATACTGGTTCTCATGTGCAAACTGAGTGTTAAAAAAAGAAAAGGAAGACGTTCCCAAATGAAGTGCATGGAAAGGAAGAGAATGCAAGACTTCTTTCTTAGGCCAGTTGTTGCAAGATTTGTGCCTCTTTAATAGAAACAGTATTTTTCATGAAGAAACCTGTAGAGGTGATAGAATATTAAATGTGTAGGTGGTGCAATAATCCCACATAACACATAAACGATCTGCTGTCATTTTTTTTAAAAAAACCCAGCTAATCTGGCTACTTTTAGGGAGGCAGTTTGGTTTAATGTAATATCAAAGCTGCAGTGACTTTGCTATGCCTTGTGAGTACATTCTGTGATTTATTTTACTGTATTTCTATATTGCTTTCCCTTGCTGCTCAAAGACGTTCCCAACAAAAAAAACAGTAAAATTAAAGCTGAGCAGAAATATAACATACTGAAAAAAATTAACACAATTAAGCACTACGGTTTTAAGATGTTTTATGCTTTCAGGCTTTAATATTTAAAACAGTAGTGGAGGGGCATGTTCAGTATTTCAATGAATGAATCTATTTGTTTTATGACAGAGAGACTCCATGAAAGATGACAGAAGAAGTTATTGTTATAGCAAAGTGGGATTACACTGCACAACAGGACCAAGAACTCGACATAAAGAAGAATGAACGCCTCTGGCTGCTAGATGATTCCAAAACGTGGTGGAGGGTAAGAAATGCAGCCAACAAAACAGGATACGTGCCATCAAATTATGTCGAACGAAAGAACAGCTTGAAGAAGGGCTCTTTGGTTAAAAACCTGAAAGACACATTGGGTAAGTCCTTCTTGGAAGCTTAAGGTTGTTTTCTGAAAAACTCATTCATTTTTGAAAAAACTTGTAGAATGTAGATCACATTATTTTGTAGGTTTTTTTTTTAAGTGAATGCATGTTAATTCAGTAAATGCAATTTGTTGCAGTGGGTGAGATTGGAAGGAGTGCGTTCCTTTAATCTTTTCAAGAGCAAGTATAAGTAGTTGAAAAAACTGTACTCTACTTTTCCTTTTTCCCAAAATTACTCATTATACTTGTATTTTTTTCTTCTTAAAAGAGTACTTGTGGTTGAGTTCAAATACTTGGTGGAGCTGACAAGGTCTGATGTGATACTTGTCATTCCAATGTGAGATGAGCCCAGACCCCTCTGAGACTGGGCCTGGGCTTGCATCTGTCCAAATTGGGTGTCATCCCCACAATGTGATGGAATGAATTCTGGAGCCCTGCATAACTGTGCTGTGTCTGGGGCGCTGCCTTTGTAGCATTTTTCTAGGTGTCCACACAGGTACACACAAAAGGTCAGTATGGGAAAAGGAAAGAGATTTTGGTTGGTTATTTGGGTGTTTGCCAGCGTCCTTTGTGCGAGCCCCCAAGGGCTGCACTGTAGTTTCTTTGGATGCCTACAAGAGAAATGTGAAAAAGTGTAAATTGTGAAAAACGAAGGAGGGGAATTTCCCATTGTTCTATAGGCCAGTAATCACGACTGTGCTCTGCAAAGCCATGCCTGTGTTTCGTTTTGTGTTTGGGTGTGAATTGTGAATATTTTCTAAATACTCTTGTGTTCTAGCCTGGTTTATTTCTTGATTGTTTAACAAGCATGGAGACCACCCCTAGAAGGTGGTTTCCCTCAAGGTCAGATTGCCAGCCAGTGATCCTGGGTTTCCCTTTCCTTCCTGGGTTGATTTGCTAGAGTCTTCCGAAACTGTATTGCCCGTGACTTCCTTAGTGTGGTGAAACTTGCTGGCTCCTGTTTCTCGTTTATGGCACCCGGGATTTCCCACTCCTGCCACATAATTATTACAATCGTTTGAAAGCTTTTCATTTATCCCCTCCCCCCAACAGCAGAATAAAAAACAGTATCTTGTGAAACGCTTGGTATGCTGCGGGTTTGGTTTGTAAGTGGCATCAACTTAGCTAATGGGAATTACCAAGAAGTACAGACCGTTATGTAGTTCAGAGAAGTTTCTAGTTATGTGTTTTCAGCTTGGTAGAAGAAAACAGTTTTGGGGTTTTTTGCTCCTTTCATGTTCATTTTTCTATATTTGCTCCTTAAGTTCAGTTTCTGAGTGCTGAAGGATACCTTTATTTGTCTGCATGACTGAGTGGATATGCATGTCTGTGAGAGGGGAGTGTTGTGTGTAGGGGTACATTTCATATAATCATCTGAGTATGTGTTAACATCTTTAGGTGAGAAATATGCACCTACTCTGTAATTATATTTAAAATTGGTGGTGTGGTCCATGTTTTTAAAAGTATCTATTGTACTACAGTCCATATTTTTTTTTTAAAAAAAATGTAATCTAGTCTGATCTTGTCAGATCTCAGAAGCTAAGCAGGTTTGGTGCTGGCTAGTATTTGAATAGGAGACCTCCAAGGGAGTCCAGGGTTGCTACGAAGAGGCAGGCTATGGCAAACCACCTCTGTTAATCTCTTTGCCTTGAAAACCCTATGAAGTCACCGGACGGCACTTTCAACCACCAGGGTAGCATAAAGTACTCTAGCAGATGCCTTAAGGTTTTTGAGGGTAGAACTCCACTCCTGTTGTTTCAACGGAGCCAGTTGATTTGCTGATTGACAGTAAGACTTAATGCCATGAGGTTGCCTTCTCCAACTCAGGGATACACTTACTTATTTAACTTTTATGCCCCACACTGCCTTACCAGTTTGGTACATGAAGATGGTTTTTGGCATCAAGATGTGCATTCAGCCAATTCCTTGGATCCTGGGTAGGCATTCCCAATACCGAGGCACAGCCAGATGTAAATGGAAGCCTGCTTCAGTGGGCCAGTCTCTTCTGCTGGGTGAGGACAGTCACATGATACCAAACTCTTTGGGTCCTGACTTGATCTGGAATGTTATTTAATGTCAATAAGGCTGTCTGTTTCTGAAGACATTAAAAATGATGTGGATGGCCATATTGATAAATATTGTTGATACAATGGAATATGACTGTGTTCACTCAAAGTATATTTAAATGATTTATAGTTTGTTCTCACTTGTAGGATAGCCAGCAGCAATTAGCAATACTTCTTGTCTTTCCCTGCCCTGTTAGTTGGTAAACCTATATTGGAGACCTAAGCATACTGATATATTTTTTTCTGTTCTAATAGTATAGAATCAGTATGAAAAGGCCAGTAACTTGCATGGAAGCATAAGCCGTTAATGAGTACTAAAACGTGATGTAATGGTCAGGCAGAGAAATGGGATGGACGTTTTTACATACTGCGTCTCTTATCAGCAGTCTTGGTTAAGAGTGTAGAAAAAAAAACAATTGGCAGCCAAAAGTGTTCCCAAGCGTCAGTACTTTCAGGGTTTGAGTACTGTAAAATGCTTTGTGTTGGCCTGCCCTTGAAAATGACTTGGAAGGTGCAGTTAGGGCAGAATGCCAGGGACCTGGCAATGGTTATGACCCTTCTTATGCCAGTCCTTAGACCGTTGCATTGACTTCCCATTTGCTTCCACGTCCAATTACAGCTATAACCTTTAAAACCCTTTATGATTTGTGATGGTCTCACTTGAAAGATCGTTACTATCTAAAGGTAAAGGTAAAGGTTCCCTTGCTTGAAAGCCAGTCGAATCTGACTCTAGGGTTGCGGTGCTCATCTCCGTTTCAAAGCCGAAGAGCCAGCACTGTCCGAAGACGTTTCCGTGGTCATGTGGCCGGCATGACTAAACACCAAGGCGCACGGAACGCTGTTACCTTCCCACCGAAGTGGTACCTATTTATCTACTTGCAATTTCTTGCTTTCGAACTGCTAGGTTGGCAGGAGCTGGAACTAGAGATGGGAGCTCACTCCATCATGTTGCAACTCGGGTCTTGAACTGCTGAACTACCGACCTTCCGCAGCCTGCAGTTCAGCGTCTTAATCACTTGAGCCACCGCAGCTCCTTCGTTACTATCTACATGAGTTCAATTCCTCTCATCATTCTCTGCTCTCTGTCCCTTTATGTAACAGGCAGCCCATGTGCCATGCATTCTCTTTATAGCAACCCCCCATTCTGTGAAATACCTTTCCAGGAATGGAGGAAGCCCTTCTCTCTCCTTGTTTTTGAAAGGTTTTGTAAGGTCAGGGCTTTCAAGCTGTGGTCAGGTGGCTAAGGCAGAACAAGCTGAAAGTGAATCCATACAAGATACAAATAATGCTGGTCGGAAAGGCAGATGTTGCAGAGGGAGCGGCTCCTTGTCCTGGATGGGATGGAGCTGTCTTTTGCAGAGCAGGCTAAGAGCTTGGACCCAGCCTTGCTGTTTGAAGAGCAGGTTGGTGCAGTTGGCTAAGAGTGCCTTCTGTCAGTTGTATGTGGTTCACCAACTCTCTCTTTTCTCGGTTGATCTGGCCATGCCGATCCATTCTTGTAACCTCATGGCTGGAAAACTGACTTGATCCATGTTGGGTTGTCCTTGAAGACAATCTGGAAATTGCAGCCAGTCAAAAGGCTGCCGCCCAATTGTCAAGGGCTATCCGATGGGAACGTATCTTGCCTATTTTGAAACAGCTACACTGGCTGCCAGTTTGTTTCCCAGCTCAATTCAAGGTGCTGGTTAAAGCTCTTCAAACCTGGAGCTCTGTCATCCCACGTCATGTGTCAACTACGGTCTTAATGCTGCCACCTTCTGGCTGTTTGCTTACTTAGGGAGGCCTGCCTGGCATTGGCCAGAGCCCAGGACTTTCCATTATGGTTCTCTCACTGTGGAACGGACTCCCTCATTGGAGACCATCAACAGGGGCTGCAAGGCTTGTTTGTTTGCCAGGGCTGTGATGGGGTATGAACGGCAGGCATCTTTGGAAGTGAGTAGTTGTGGGTTTCTCTGATTTTAATCTGTAGGGTTTTAATTATTATCCAAGAGAGATGCAGGGTATAAATATGTTAATAAATAACAATAAGAATGAGTTCTGTCCAAGGGTTTTGGGGACTGCTTAATTTGTACACGGGAGCTGCGGTGGCTCAAGTGGTTAAGACGCTGAACTGCAGGCTGTGGAAGGTCTGTAGTTCAGCAGTTCGAGACCCGGGTGCCGCATGACGGAGTGAGCTCCCGTCTCTAGTTCCAGCTCCTGCCAACCTAGCAGTTCGAAAGCAAGACATTGGAAGTAGATAAATAGGTACCACTTCAGTGGGAAGGTAACAGCGTTCCGTGCACCTTGGTGTTTAGTCATGCCGGCCACATGACCACGGTAACGTCTTTGGACAGCGCTGGCTCTTCGGCTTTGAAACGGAGATGAGCACCGCAACCCTACAGTCGGATTCGACTGGCTTTCGAGCAAGGGAACCTTTACTTTTTTTACTTTGTACACACTATTTTAATTGGCTAACAGTTTGTTTTATTTATTTACAACATTTATATCCCACCTTTCTACCCAGTTAGGTCTACCAAGGCTGCTGCTGTTTTATTTGTTGTTCCTGTCGTTGGGTCCATATGCTGGGGGAAAGGCTTATAAATAATTTTAATAAATAAATAGTATTTTGTTGGTAGCTTTGGTCAAGAAGCAGTGTTTTCTGACGTCAAAACAACAAATTAACTTTGATTATATACTATAATTTTAAACATCTGTATCACTTCGTAAACATTGGAAGACGTAAACATGGCAGAAAGAGGAGAAACCAGCAATGGCCCCTTTCAGTTGGCCTGCCTTTTCACCCACCCTAGTCTGTCCCTGAAACAAGTCTGTCACTTCCTTTGTCTTGAGGATATGATTTTTAGCTTCTAGGGATGGAGGATGCCATACCATTAGGGTGCCCTGATGAATTTCCCTGTACACTGTATAGGTCAAACTCACCACCATGAA